AACTTAGGTACCCTATTATATAAGATAAACAACCATGTATTTGGTTTTTGAAAATAACGTTTTATTTATGAGTAAATTGAATTTTCGTGGAACGATGTAAATATGCTAATTTTCGAGCTATGAAATGGCGATAAACTGATGGCCTCGTTTGGTTAATGCAGCAATGTTTCATGCTTAAAACATTTATAAGATAAAAATATCACCCATTTTCTTTCATTTGGGCGAGTTTTAAACTTGTGGCTTATATCTAAAATTTCTGGCGAATTTTTATAAATGACACCTGTTTTTGATCGTTAAAACTACTATCAAAATAGCCGTCGATTTGATAAAGACCGATATGATCAAATCAAATGATCTTTGCAGGATAAAATGTCAAGGAAGAGTTCTTTCAATCTATGTAAAAATATCGTTGGGTAAATGTGTTTATGCTTCGCTAGAACCGACCAAAGTTACCGAAATATTCTTTTTTCAACAGGTGTGAAACCAACAAGTTTATAAACACGTCAACAAAATAGATCGCTTTATGTTGTGTTTCATACCCAAGAGCAAGCATAAACTAAACTAAACATTTACCTTATGTTTATCTCGACAATTTTTGTGTTTTGAGACGTTCTAACATACTTGATCTTCTGTTGGGCTTCCTCTGGTTAATTAGGCGCCCTAAGTGATGCTATTTTTAACTCTTATCGTAAAACGTATCTGTTTTATTAAGAGATTTTCATAGAACTTTGCGAAATTAAGTGCTCGCGAAAATTAGTACGAATAAGGTAGAAAAAAAGTTCACTAATTACCTTCCAAGAGTCAGTATTGCTCGAGGGTCTTTCTTGTTTGTGTTTTATGCCCACTAATGATTGTTAAGGCGTTCTTTTATATGAGTGTTTGACAGAGCCATGGCCGTCAAAACRTCAGTCACACATCAAATTKTKTAAACATTTTCTCTTCGTTGATGTCCAAACCATAAATTGAGTTTATACATTTATTAAGCAGTAACGAAGTACTAATAGGATTTAATGCCTTTTTATGTGAGCTATTTTTCTCTTTTCTCGATATATTATGTGGTATATATAAAGAATCAATTGAATTTCGATTTTTTTTGGAGGGACACTTGTTTTTTGGTTCGATGTTGATTTAATACTGTTAGCATTTCCACAGTAGTAAATGAGTTTTGGTCAACGCTGAACTACTTAATTGTGCATAATGTTTGATTTTGGATTTGTCTATCTCTGTCACTGGTAAATGAGTGACACACCTATTAGCTTGTTAGTAATTATTGGAAAGTTTATTTGCTTGATAGTAATTTGCCAAGTGWTATCCTTGGCGACTCAAACATCAATTTCTTTTGCTTRAGCTCACTGAAAATGCAAGATCTGAATGACTTTCAGCCTCAACCACAGTTCATCATTTCAATTTTCCTTTGTGCATCTTCAGAGAGTTATTAAAAAGTACTTTAAAATATTCTTTGATAAACAATACTCGCCTTAAACTTTTATGGAGCGGACGGAAAAGCGCGCAGACTTTATGCAAAGTGCCCCTCCACGAGGGACTTTATCGCGTCATGAGAGCGGAGGAAAATTTGTTGTTGATATCCAAGTGAGTATATGAGTATCCAAGACGTGGGTTATTATTTAGTAACTGTGTATAACACTTTTAACAAGAARATGCAGAAAAATACATGAAAATCAATTTAAGTGTCTTTCTTTTTCCTTAAAAAATAGTCAATGGCCTTTTCACAGACTCTCTACGAACTTTCTCCTCCAATGCAGGCACAGGGTAACATTTAATTACCAAAGCTTTTATCATCGCTATCCTTGCAGGGTCAAGGGCTTGCTTCCCGCGTACTTCCCTCCACATTTCTGCCCAACAGCTCCGCAGGCTGAAACATCTCTCTCACTAGACGCACTGCAAAATTTGGTCTGGAGCTTGCCGTATTAMGCATTTGCAATAGTCTGTTAGTGTCAAGGACTGTTTATTCGTTTTATTCGCTCGAATTCACAAGTTTATCAAAGTTTAAGAACCCTACACGTTATTATTTTAAGTCAGAATAGAAATTCGTTGCATTTAACGACCCCTAATCGATGAGTAAAAATTGCGAATTTAGTAAGCGGCATTGTAAAGTTGTCTGTGGTGAGTACTTGAGGTGAAAATGTGTGACGCAAACTGCGCTGAGCGCTATTTCTCTTTCATAATATTGTTCGATCAGTGATCTGTTGCTACATACATGTACATACATGTATTCTTGGCTTTCACTGATCACGTGATAGTCTAAAAAAGATATTTAGTAGCCTGAGTATCAGGCTCTCTCGAAGGGGTTTGGGGCGGAGCGAGAAAGGAGAGAGAGCCTGACACAATCTTCTATTGAGAGCCGTTCCGCCCCCTTGCAATGCGTGACGCGTGACAATAAATTCCAGCCAATTAAAATCTCTTCCGGTTCGCTGGATTTCGAGGTATGGCGGGTCATATGTCAAAATTTGGCGCGAAATCGTACGCGCAACTAACATGTCGTCAAGATCGGACGGAAAAGCCATAATTTGTAATCTTTGCAAAGAAAATCTGCGTGTAAAGTATGGATGTAAACCATCGACTGTTCCCTTGTTCTCTGCAACAACAAACAAAGACATATGCTCGTTAGTTGGTTC